GGTTGATCTTGAGGAAACTCAGCCTTGACTTAACACATTGCTTAATGGCATTAAAGTGGGTGACTAGTCCCAAGACTATCTCATGGGAGAAGATGACAATGATGTTGCCATTTATAGGCTATATTTTAATTTGTCCAGAATGCAAAGCTTTCAATAAGGGCCTGCTGCTGCTGTCTAACTGACATCACGCAAACAAAGGCAAGAGGAAAAGAGATTACAAAGTGCTCCGTGAGCAATCTAGGAAACAGTTTTAATGAGAGGGACTGTTACAATCAAGAAGGACACAGCACCTAGCTCCACACCTACATGGGAAAATTATCATAAAAATCTAGGAAAATTGACTCAGAACTGGCTTCCATAAATAATAGTCACCCGAAAGGACTGGGGACAAGGCTCAGCGGTTAAAGCGCTCACTGACCTTCCAGAGACCTGAGTGTGTTTCCCCAAACCCAGCTCCAGGGGACCTGATGCCTGCTGTTGACCTCCACCTGTCACACATCCACACACATAGGACAGACACACATCCGCACAAATTAAAAACGTATGTTTATTTTTTCCCATATATTTTTTATTTAACTTTTTACGCATGTCACTTTCAGGTCCCTCTCCCTCCCCTCCTCCCCTATCCCCCAATCCTCCCAACCCATCATCCCACTCCATCTCCCCTCCACTCCCCAGGGAGGGCAAGGGCCTCCATGAAGGATTTTTCAGGGTCTGTCACATCAACCCGGGAAGGATCCAGATTCTTCTTCATGTGTCTATCTTTAAAGGCAAGCCCCCGTTAATTTTAGAACTGAAAAACAGAATATGCACAAGAACTCATTAGGTGGATTTATCAGAGATATGAAATGGTACAAAACAGGATGAATGAATTTGAAGGTCCAAAGGAAATCTCTAAATTAAACAGGAAGGGAGAGATTAATTAAAAAATTAATCCAGCTGATTTCCCAAACTGGTGCTGGTTTTAAACAGGCTCCAGACCGTCTTACTTAGAATTGCTATTGCTGTGATGAAGCACATGACCAAACGCAACTTGAGGAGGAAAAGGTGTATCTGGGTTGCATTGCCACATCACTGTTCATCAGTGAAGGAAGTCAGGACTGGAACTCAAACAGGGTGGAACCGGAAGCAGGAGCTGATGCAGAGGCCATGGAGGAGTACTGCTTATTGGCTTGCTCAGTCTGCTTTTTCATAGAACCCAGGACCACCAGCACAGGTGTAACACCATCCATAATGGGCTGGGCCCTCCCCCATCAATCACTAATTAATAAGAAAATACTCCACAGGCTTGCCTACAGCACGATCTCTTGGAGGCATTTTCTCAACTGAGAGACTGCCCTTGTGTCAAACAGACATTAGATCCAAACAGAATTAATGATCATCAACGATAATATAAAAACAACAATACCTTAACAAGGTCCATCTTAATAAATCTGCTGAAATCCCCCAAACAGAAAGAAAATGTTAAAAGCCACCAGGAATAAGCAGGCAGCATATAGTCAGAAAGGAGAGAATCTCAACAGAGCCAAGGGAAAGGACAGCAGGTAACACCTCAAACACACTGCAGGAAAACCACTTGCATCTTAGAAGGCCAAATACAGCACCACTAGATGGATAAAAGTCAAGAAATTTGAGACTTGGGGTATAACTCAGTTGTGGAGTGCAAGTAAGACTCTGGACCAATTCCAGATCTTAGCACTCTATCCCCAAAGCAAAAGCTAGCAATTTGCTCTAGAAAATCTGTCCCTAAAACTGCTACACCATTAGGAACCTGAAAACTAAAGCAATGAGTTATCACCACACATACCAGACATGGATGACAAGTACTGGGGAAAATGTGAGCAAAGAGAATCTTCATCCATTGTTCATGAGAATAAAAGCACACTGTGACCACCTGGGAAGGCCAGTTGCCATTTTCTGGTAAATTAACCATAATCTTATCACACAACCCACCGATCACTATCCTTGGTATTGCTCAAATTTGAAAATGTATGTCTACGCCTGAAACATTAACATGAACTGTTTATAGAAGCTTCATTCATAACAGTCAAAACTTAGAGGAAACCAAGATTTTTGTTCAGCAGCTAAGTGTACAAAATGGTATGTTTACACAATAAAATATTACCTAGCAGAAGAAAACTTAATTATCAAGTCGTGTAAGAGACACTAGGAACTGATGCATTATTGGTAAGTATGAGAAGCCAGTGAAAACACCACATACTGTATAAGTGTTGTGGCATGACATTTTCAAAGAGAAACGTTCAGACAGAAAAAGCTAACGACAGGTGGAGTCTGGGTACTCAAGACAAGAAAGAAATGAAGAATAGTACAGTAAGGCACATGGAATTTTACATGATATATGTTTCTGAAAGCTCTGGAACTGTACAGTAAAAAGAAAGAGCCCTAATGGAACTATAGACTCCAGTAATAGTAAATCAGTTGTAGGCATCTGTAAGGGATACCACACACCAGTGAGACACAGTAACCATAAAGGGAGTCACTCCGAAGGTTAGAGCAGTGATGAGGAACTCTCCACCTTCCGCTCAATTTCTATATAAACCAGAAGCTATTCTAAAACAAAGTGTGTTGATTAAAATAGTTAACTTCCCAAAAAGAAAACTCTAAACACAGGCTTTATTGGAGAACTCTCCCCAATATTAAAAAAATAAAAGTTCCTAACACTTGCAGAACGTAGCAAATGAAAAAGGTAACACACCCTTACTCATTCTATGAGGCCAGAATACCTTTATATAAGACTTGACCAACATAAGAAAGAAAAATGATACAGCTATTTCTCTCATCACATAGCTGTACTCTTTAACACCCATGTCAGTGAGTTTGTGCCAACAAATCTTAGAAAGTCACTGTGAGACAGTATCGTTTGCAGACTAACAATGAGAAAAATGTATATTATTTATAGAGTCATAGCATTGTTGCCTTTAAAAACTTAGCGGTAACAGGCATATCAATAGATAGATATAACAAGATATAGTATACAACAAAAGTATTATAAAGTATAAGACTACAAAGAACTTTGTATGGTATAAGAAATAGGTAGAGAATTTTACAAAATTTTGCCAGATTTTACAATACTAACAGAAATTCATTTGATTAAAAACAACAGAGGTAGAAATGGAAAGTAGTTTCTAGATTGAAAAACCAAAAGCAAGCATAGAAGTGGAAAGTTTAGCGCTCTACCTGATTGAAAATCCTAACTGGGATTATGTATTTATTTGTTTATTTATTATCTTAGAATTTCATGAAAGTAACACTGTTAGATGAAAACCATGGTTTCACTCCAACACAGGAATAGTGAGTGATTTCAATATCCAGTTCTCACCAGTTACAGGCCATTTGGAATAAAATGATAATTTTGAATCCACTCTGACCCCTCTCCAAAGAAAACCTGAAGCCATGAAGAAAGGAAAATGAGCCACATTCTAAACAAGGTCACCCAAGGACAAACTGGTCTCCACACTATTTGGCCTTTGGAAGAGCATGGGAGGAAAGGAAGGAGGCTGACACACAGGGGCCAATAGCTGTCAACTACTAAACACGCAGACTGAGTTTCTTTCACTTTTGTTACATTGATTTTTAATTGGCACATTTTTCTATGTTAATTAAAAAGTTTTCAGATGATACGTTTTGATCATGTTTCCCACTCCCTATGTCCCTCAGATCCCCCCACCTAACTACCCACCCCATTTTATGTTCTCTCTCTCTGTCAAAAACAAAAACAAAAGATCACAGAAATCAAAATAAAACAGCAAAAAATCAATAAGATCAAAAATGCCAAAGTGAAACATAAAGTGTACCAAAAAAAAAGCCGTGGAGTTGATGTTATATTGGCTAACTACTCCTAGGCCTGGGGGCTGCCCTGGAGCATGGGTGATCTGCCCAGTGACAATCTATTGGAAGAAGGGGAGAGTTTCTATTGCCAGTGGATATCAATTGCTGATAGCTTCTTGATTAAAGGTGGGAAAATGTATCCACTTTTCCCTCTGGGTGATGGGACTACCGTCTTTGTGAGTTCATATGAGCGTCAGTCTTGCTGAGTCTGGAAGACATCATGTCCTTAAAGTTATCCATCACTTCTGGATCTTTACAATCTTTCTCTTCCACAAACTTTAAATAATTAACTTAATATAAATGTTCTCCCTTCCAGAGTTAAACTAGAAACAACAAAAGGAAGACACTGGAAAAAAATCTCCCAAAAATTGAAAACTAAACAGTGCATTTTCTAGATAACCCATGGATCAAAAATAAAGTCACAGAAAATAAATAGTATCATTACCCACGATCTCTAAAAAACCTAAATATCTGCCAGGTAAGTACTAAATAGAGAAACTAACAGTGAGGCTTTCAAACAATGAAATGCTGGTCAGCAATTAAGAGAAGCAGAAGTACAGAAGTACCAACAGTATGGATGAACCCCTAAAGCCTAACGCTGACAAAAGCTCCCACAAGAGTTTACATACTGTGTGATTCCATTTAGATGACATTCTCATATAGTAAGATCTCCCGGTCATTCCGCATACCCACGGTGCCTAGTCTGTTTGACCGTGGTCAATAAATGCTAGGTGTGTGCATCGGAAATCACTGCAAGGCCAGTGAAGTGCAACAACGTGACACATTTTAAAAATGTACATTGGGCCCCAGTCCACCCACGAGACAGTAAAAGAGAAGGAAGACATGCCACTCAGTGAGTCCAACAGCTTAAGAGAATAGGTCCCTTAAATGACTACAAGAATAAACGAAGGAGAAGCCTTGACCGGTCTCTGGCCTGAAGAAAGGCGTGTTCTGCCCCACCCATCTTTAATAAAAATACAATCGCCCCCACGCTTGGGTCTGAGCAAACCAAGGTGAGGAGCGCAGGGAGGGATTTAAGACACTAAAAGGGGTGGGAAGAGCAGAGAGCTCTGGCTTGGGTGAAGGCAGTGTGGCAGCCAGGACGTCCTGCGGCCCGCCGGTCTCCATAGCTTCCCATCAGCCCCTCTTACCCAGGCCTGCCGTTCCAGCTGAGCGTACAAATTGGAGCCCTTGAGTTTCTGGACTATCTGGGCAATGATGAGAGACAGGTCCGACTCCTCCTGCAACATCTCCCCTGCCCTAGCCCGCCCAGCCGCGGGGACAGCCGCTGGCACGGAAAGAATGCACTGCAGGGTCCCACTCCCGGCCGCTGACACTTCTCCCGGACCTTTTTTACGCTGGGACTCCTCCAGCAGGCGTTGCCAGGCAACTGCTGGGCCTTGTGTCCGTCCCTTTCTGGTCCCCTCCGCATCGGAAAGGTCTAGCACTTGCGTTCCGACGTCGGAAAGGGTCCGGGGCCGGGAAGTAGATTTCCTTTCATTGTTCCTGCCCAGTCTGATCGAAACCCCAGAACAAAAGCTTGTTCTTCGGCAACCACAAAGTTTCGGATGCTCAAACGAACTGAGAACGGTGTGTGTGTGTGTGTGTGTGTGTGTGTGTGTGTGTGTGTGTGTGTGTGTGTGTGTGTGTGTGTGTGTGTGTGTGTGTGTGTGTGTTGAAATTTCGTATATAGACTCTATATTATAAAGGTTCATCACTCTTCCATCAGTCCAACTCTTCAGAACACGCCTGTGAACGCAAGTGCTGGTAATCACACCCAACAACTGTGCGAGGTGTTTGAATTTCATAATTCAGTTTACACCAGTTCACAGGATGCTTTTATGATTGGGCGAGGTAAGAAACAATGCACGAAGTTGCACTTTTGTCTTCTTTCTATTGTTTCTCAGTCTCTGGAGTCATATCCCAGAATTAGTCTCCTTTCAAATAGAAACTAACCAACAAACATTACTACTTCTGTTAGCATTCATAATTCAAAGATGACTAAGATATTGTCCTGGTCTTCAAGAAATTTACCACCTAGATATCCCCTCTTCTGTGTGCTCATTAGGTCTTTTAGTCATGGTTCAACTTTCAGTTTGTCAGGCATTTACATACAAATATTTTTAAAAATGCAGTTCTTGTCCTCAAGGAAGTGTATGAAAGATATTTATAGTTGGAAGTAGCTGATTTAACTAACTGAATGTCAAGCAAAGGCCAATAGTAGCTTGACAGAAGCCCTAAGGTATAATTATACATTAGAAAAATATCACTAGAGTAATTAAGGATTAATTTCAGTTTTGCGTGTGTACATATATTTTAAACAAGGCAAAGTAGTATTTCAGGAGAACAGCCTGAGATTGCTGAAAAGGCTACTCTGGTCTAATTACATCAAACTTTAATGAGCTTAAGAATCACAAGAGATTTTACTAAATCAAATGTGGATTCTGATTCAATGAGCCTTTAGTGGAATCTGGTAATTTGAATTGCTGACAAGGCTCCAGAGATTGTCATGCTTGTGATCCAAAGGCTAAACTCTACACAGGAAGGGACTAGAGCAGATAATAAGAATTCAAAGACCTGTGAACACCTACCATCTATGTACATCTACCATATCCTGGCATTTTCTGCACCGTCACAGAGATACTGCGAAGATAGATACAGATTCTCGACAATCCACCTGGCCTACGTGCGGTTTAGGAAAACAGTTCCGAAAAAATCAGCAGAGAAATAAAGTACTTTCTTTACAAAAAATTCTCCCACAACACAGAATGTCTCAAACTTGTGGATGAATAGATCTCCATTCTTTGTAGTACCTCCAAGGCAATACCCTACATCCATGAACCTTCAACGCAACCTGACATTGAATAACAATAACTTTTGTAAAATCATGGCAAATTCTCATTTGATGTTGAGAATATGAGAATGATGAGAAAAAAAGATAGCTGTTCTAGTCTGGGGGTAGAAGGGTCTTGGAGTAAAGAAGCAAGACTCGAATTCAGGAAACACTCTTGCTCCCCTCCTAACATGTTCCCTAAGAACTTCAGCTTTCTCACCTGAAGAAAAAGAAAAACAGCATCTATTATGGGAAAGGGCACCTAGCATTATAAAAGGAATGAATAAGATATTGAAACTGAGGTAATTAGGTAAAATAATATCCCACAATATTGACAGGAACACGAAAAAACTAAGCATACAAGAAATGTCAAAGTGTCCAGCAGGGTTTTATACAGATATCAGCGTTAAATTGTTTCTGAGAGAACAATTTTCAGGCTTAAAGCAACAATCAAGAAGTTTAGATTTGATTTTCAAATCCTACACAAGGAAAATAAACCCTTAATCATAACACTAAAAAATGTTTCTTAGCGACACAGAAGCAGGTGTGTGTTGGAGTGTGATTCAATTCTAGACTGCCCTCTGCTCTCTTTTTCCAATTCAATTTGGCAAGACCTTTCAAAGCACCCACTTCAGGCTAGGAATGGCAAAGAATACATAGATGAATCAAATGGCCCCTTCTCTCAAGGAATTCTCAATCCCTAAGGGACAGTACAGCCAGCATGCAAAGATATTTAATTAAGATAGGCCCTGTCTGCCTCCCACGTGTGTGTGTGTGTGTGTGTGTGTGTGTGTGTGTGTGTGTGTGTGTGTGTGTTCAGGTCCCTGCTCCGAAGTTAATTGGAGAGGAAAAGTCTGAACCCCAGACTCCCGTAGAGGAAGGACTTAATACCCAAAATCCTTAGTGTGCCCACAATGAGCAGAGACTGAGACAATGCTCCAATTTTACATTTGAGACTGAAGCCTGACTCTGCCTAATAAGGGAACAGCAGAGTCCAGCCTCACCTGAGTGGCTACAGCTGCCTAAATAGACTCAGAAGGAAAACAGTCACACAGAGACATCTCCCAAAATACTATAGGACTTAGAAGGAGGATGCTCCTGAATCAATATATTTGGGTCTCTGGGCCCTGCCCACCTTTCTCTGCTTGACTGGGTGGATCTCACTGGATAGAGGCTAAGCATGCCTGAAAAGCTATGATAAGGATTATGTCAAACACACCCTTCCAGCATCAGAAGTCAATGAGGCTCACCCCAGGGGTACTGAGAAGGCCATTTCTTTATCCACATGAGCGTTTTTCCATATACTTGCTGTTTACACTGAGAATTCTTCCCACTTGCTTTAAAACAAGATGCTGATTTTAGCATGTTGTATTACAGAATAATTTGAACTATATGCTTTCATGAATTGACCTAAAAGATAAAAAATCCAAGCACATGTGTTCCATGTTATCACAAATGCTACAACACACCTTGCTGACCCTGCAAACAAATAAGTTAGTGACAATATCCATTACCTATCAATGGGTTGACTCTGCTACAGAGTCGTGATATGTAGTCCAAAATATGTCAACACAAGGGTGGCTTTGAAATGGGATTACTCATAAATAAGTATCCATGCGTGACCCTTCTGCTAATTAGTCTCATGCAGACTGAACTTAAGAGTTATACAATATACAGATACAAGACCATGCACAGAGCTCATGTCAAAAATGTAAATTATTTATTTATGTGGCATGCTTCTCAGTGTCATGGTGACATTTTAAAAGCAAGAGAAGAACAATAAGAAGAGGAAGAAGAAGAAGAAGAAGAAGAAGAAGAAGAAGAAGAAGAAGAAGAAGAAGAGGAGGAGGAGGAGGAGGAGGAGGAGGAGGAGGAGGAGGAGGAGGAGGAGGAGGAGGAGGAAAGGTGGCCCATTAAAAATATGGTCTGAGAGTATATGACAAGAGGAGAATGTTTGCAAATGGTATTTTAAAAATAGCTTTTTAAAAAGCTAATGACTTGAGAAGGAAGTAGCTTGTTTGTAAATTACTTTCATCTATTTCCTCCCTATATTTGGAAACCACTCTACTAGAATTCTCAGTGATTTCCTCTGGCTGTACAAAGGTGAATGGAATTTGGAAATACAATTTGCACTATTTGGAGCAAATGGAGTTTAACGGTTAATTTTAGAAAGAAAGAAAAGGAAGGCAAGGTGACTCCCTAGTTTCTCCAGGTACTTCCTGCAGGTGGGGTGATAGTAAAGCAAGAGTCCCATTAATTCCTAGCTCGTTTCCTCCTCAATTCTGTAATCACAACTCCATTTACTTATCCCGCTAAATTTCACCTCACACTCAAGCATTTTCATTCTAGATATTTCTTGATTATTTTATATGTGCTTCTCTCTCTTAGATTCAGTGGATGTTGGGGTGGGCTACTTTTTGTTTCCCTGCTGAACTCCATAGCTGGGACCTAAGAACTTGAGTTGGGTACAGGGTCCATTCAAAATGCAGTGAGTGAGCATCTGCATTCAGTGGCCCACTGTGCCTAAGTCAAGATGTAAGACTCTTTCCAGATTCCCCCAAACAAAACAAATTTTAACTCATGGAACGAAACACAAAATATGTGCCAAATTGCACAATTTTTGAGAGAAATGGAATGTGGCAGAAAATCAAACAGTGGTCCCTAGGGGGAGGAAGAGGGAGGGCCATGATTTACCAGGAGTAATTCAGTCAAAGCAGTTTTATTTGTTTCATGATGTTACTTGTTGTCCAAGCATGCTGACAACACTTTAAAACAGCATCCCTAGAACACTACATTATATAAATAAATGATTCCATCTCAACACACTCACTTGCTAGAACCACTTCACTGGAATATAAAAAAAGCAAGGACCGGAAATGAGGACAGTCAAAAAATATTCCATGTTATTCAGGATATGAGTAAAGGTATAAAATTGTTAATCAATGTTAAGACTGATTTCTGCAATCCTGAAATGTTATCTGTCATAGCAAATTTGGCAAGCTAAAATTTTCATTTTCCTTCAACAACAGTGAAATATATTATTTCCAAAAGTGGAATTCAGAGAATCATATAAGCTACACAACGTGATGTGGGCACCATTCCATGTTCACAACCAAGTTTGCTAAAAATTTGTATGGCAATTTTCCACTACTCTGGAATGTGCATCTTGCAGTGTGTGCCTGGTGGCTGACTTATTTCTTTGCCATGCTTTTTTAGTTTCAGGAGTGCAAGGAAAAGGAGCTAAGACTATTTCAGTTAACCCTTGGCACCCCTCATAAGTGAAGAGCTGTTGTCTCTAATTTTTGGCAGATTAAGATGCCAACATTTGAAACTAGGTACAATGAAATTCCAAGTGGCAGAACTGGGAACAGAACCCAACTTCCTCACAGTTTTCCCTTGGACAAATTGTTTTTGCCTCAAAAATTTTCAGTACTGGGAATTGGAGGAGGATGGTTAATGGGGAGGTGTTGTCTTCAGAATGGAGGGTGTAGCTTCTAACCCCAGGCAGCACAGCAGGATAAACACGGTTGACAGCAGTTGACCAAATA